GATCATATCCCCCCTTATGTATTATACATGGAGATCATATCCCCCCTTATGTATTATACATGGAGATCATATCCCCCCTTATGTATTATACATGTGAGATCATATCCCCCCTTATGTATTATACATGGAGATCATATCCCCCCTTATGTATTATATACATGGAGATCATATCCCCCCCTTTATGTATTATACATGGAGATCATATCCCCCCTTATGTATTATACATGGAGATCATATCCCCCTTATGTATATACATGGAGATCATATCCCCCCCCTATGTATTATACATGGAGATCATATCCCCCCTTATGTATTATACATGGAGATCATATCCCCCCTTATGTATTATACATGGAGATCATATCCCCCCTTATGTATTATACATGGAGATCATATCCCCCCCTTATGTATTATACATGGAGATCATATCCCCCCCCCCTTATGTATTATACATGGAGATCATATCCCCCCCCCTTATGTATTATACATGGAGATCATATCCCCCCTTATGTATTATACATGGAGATCATATCCCCCCTTATGTATTATACATGGAGATCATATCCCCCCTTATGTATTATACATGGAGATCATATCCCCCCCCTTATGTATTATACATGGAGATCATATATCCCCCCTTATGTATTATACATGGAGATCATATCCCCCTTATGTATTATACATGGATCATATCCCCCCCCTTATGTATTATACATGGAGATCATATCCCCCCTTATGTATTATATACATGGAGATCATATCCCCCCTTATGTATTATACATGGAGATCATATCCCCCCTTATGTATTATACATGGAGATCATATCCCCCCTTATGTATTATACATGGAGATCATATCCCCCCCTTATGTATTATACATGGAGAATCATATCCCCCCCCCTTATGTATTATACATGGAGATCATATCCCCCCCTTATGTATTATACATGGAGATCATATCCCCCCTTATGTATTATACATGGAGATCATATCCCCCCTTATGTATTATACATGGAGATCATATCCCCCCTTATGTATTATACATGGAGATCATATCCCCCCCCTTATGTATTATACATGGAGATCATATCCCCCCTTATGTATTATACATGGAGATCATATCCCCCCTTATGTATTATACATGGAGATCATATCCCCCCCCTTATGTATTATACATGGAGATCATATCCCCCCTTATGTATTATACATGGAGATCATATCCCCCCTTATGTATTATACATGGAGATCATATCCCCCTTATGTATTATACATGGAGATCATATCCCCCCTTATGTATTATACATGGAGATCATATCCCCCCTTATGTATTATACATGGAGATCATATCCCCCCCCCTTATGTATTATACATGGAGATCATATCCCCCCCTTATGTATTATACATGGAGATCATATCCCCCCTTATGTATTATACATGGAGATCATATCCCCCCTTATGTATTATACATGGAGATCATATCCCCCCTTATGTATTATACATGGAGATCATATCCCCCCCCCCCTTATGTATTATACATGGAGATCATATCCCCCCTTATGTATTATACATGGAGATCATATCCCCCCCCCTTATGTATTATACATGGAGATCATATCCCCCCCCCCCTTATGTATTATACATGGAGATCATATCCCCCCTTATGTATTATACATGGAGATCATATCCCCCCTTATGTATTATACATGGAGATCATATCCTTATGTATTATACATGGAGATCATATCCCCCCTTATGTATTATACATGGAGATCATATCCCCCCTTATGTATTATACATGGAGATCATATCCCCCCTTTATGTATTATACATGGAGATCATATCCCCCCCCCCCCCTTATGTATTATACATGGAGATCATATCCCCCCCTTATGTATTATACATGGAGATCATATCCCCCCTTATGTATTATACATGGAGATCATATCCCCCCTTATGTATTATACATAGTATAGATCTCAGTGCCCCTAGCAATGACCAGTATAGAGTTCAGTGTCTCCAGCTTTGATGAGTAGAGGTCTGTGTCCCCCGTCGGTGATGAGTCCTGAGATCTACACTCGCACTGCTGTGTATTTTTCTACTGCCCGTAATAAAAACAACCCTTTTTTTGTTCAGTTTGCAGAAATGTACACATGCAGATTCTATGGATATGTAATTTTGTTTAGAAATAGACCCCAATGTGTCTGAGAGCCAAACCTGCCCCTTCCTCACCTATTGGAATACCTGGGGTCTTGAGGAGTGAGTGCAGGGACCTGGGGGTATGTGTAGGGAGGGTGGGGTACTCCATGCTATCCTCTCTCAGGGACACTTTTCTATACTTTTTTCGTCATCAGAACCCAGATATCTTCATCATTTTTGTCCCGCCATGAGGTTGTAGTGAGGAATTCTGCCAATTTTTAATAGGAACATATTTACTCCCACTCTTCCCCAATATCTCACCACTTCACAGAGTACTTGTGTAGCACTACCCCTTAGGAGTTGCAATAGATTTGGGTCCCCCTATAGCCCTGCACAGCCAGGTAACACGCATCTTCACACAGACTTGTATCCAGGAGTCAGTAACCATTCCTTGAGCTTTGTTTTTGTAATTTTTTTAGGGGGATTTGAACTGGGAAAGGGTTAGGGGTGTACAAGATGCCCAATGGAACCCATCAACTGAGGGCAACTTGCTGGAACTATTTACAAGCCTTCTCTGCAACACAGACTCTTTTGGAGACCTAGGCAGCGTCTTTGTGTCCCACCACAGACCCTAGATATACTCCTCTTCCTTTACTCAGCTGTCTGGAGGTATCCCTGAGCAGGGGATCCGGTGCCTGTCACTTTAAGAGATTAGACAGTCCTAGTAGGTGGTGAATCAGGTTTCCCACCAGAGTGCTGCTTCCCCTATCTGGCCCAGGGGGTGCAGGCTTACTCACTCAGTTCTTCTCCTATACTGCTGATGGGTTGGTGGCTGCTAGCAGGCCTTCTAGCTGGGCCACTCCTTCCCTGCTGCACAAATGGTCCTCGCTCTGGGGGCCAGTGAAGCTCTAAACTTTCCTCCTTCCAAGTTCCCGGCCTGCAGGTAGGCCCTATCCCACCAGGCCTCCTCACAGCCTCCTACATCTCCATCCTTCTCACTTCATCTTCCACCCGAACTCCCCTGCAGATGAGCAGGCTCAGTGACTCTTAAAGGGTGTCCCCTTTCCAAGCCTCCTGTTGGGGATTGGCCAGGATCCTTTAAAAGTCCAGGCCAGCCACTCCTCAGATCTGCCCACTGCTTCTAGACCTTTCTCCAAAGATCTAGAGCAGGGGGAAATTACAGAGGCTGTCTCCTTGCTCCAAGAACAAGAGGACACGCTGCTTGTATGGATGATTTCCCTCTAGGGGGATGTGTTCCATTGCCATGTAATGTAATCTTGTACATATGTTAACCTCCCTGGCGGTCTGATTCTTTCCGATTTTTGGTGCTGAAAGCGGTACATTTTTTTGCATGAAAATATGTCGTTTTTTATTGTAGGCTGTAATTTTTAGGAATAACTCACTGAAATCTGTCCGGACAAGAGTCTAGTAAACATCCCGGGGAGAATAAAACTTGAAACACAAAATCATAAATTATAATTTAATAAATAATCATAAAAAATAATAATATAATAATAATAAATGTAATTCAATAATATAATCACCAAAAACACTGAAATGTGAAATAGAGCGCCAAGTTGGCCCATCGCTGAGCTCAGTCGCAGAATCGTTTTCAGTGTCTGATGAGGAATTTCCCCCACCAATCATTATCACTCAATTCTGTGGTTCTGATTTTTTTGTTTTCTGTTATTTTGAAAGTGTAAATGATGGAAATAAAATCTAACTTTTGTTGACATATTATAAGAATGTCTAATCTGTAATTTGATGCCTTTTGGAGATTTTTCCATCTTTCCTTGGCTTCTTTATGCACATTAATACAAATTTTTAGCTGGGGTGCCCAAACTTTCGATCCCCACTGTATGTCCCCCCCTCCCAGTTTTGTACCCTTTTACCCCCTCCCTTTTTTCTGTATAAGATGCCCTGCTGTTTTTATCCCCCAGCCAGTGAAAATGTGTGTGTGTGTGTGTGTGTGTGTGTGGGGGGGGGGGGGGGGGGGGGGGGGAGGGGGGATGTAGCACCCTCCTAGGCAGCTAGGGGGAGCTAGATCCTGATTGTTAGGAAGGCTGAGTAGCAGCCTGGGTGTGATAGCTGGCTGGGTCTAAATTGGGCCAAAGCTGAGAGGCTCCGGGCATCCCGTACACCTCTTACTCCATCCTAGCTCAAATTCCCTAATAAAAGCACAAAAACAACGCTCAAGGACTGGGTATTGTCTCCGGGATGCAAGTTTGTGAAAATGCGTGTTACCTGGCTGTGCAGGACTATAGGGGGGCCAAAATACTTTGCAACCTCTAAGGGGGTAGTGCTACACGTCTCATAGGCTTTGGTTCTGGGTTCTCCTTCCAGTCATCTATGTACTCATTATAGAGATCCTACACAGAGTGACCCGACTATAGAGATCTGAAAAATAATCCTCCTCTTCTACCGCTGAGCTTCTCACTGGGTCTTCTCCACTTTACAAATACATCACACAGAGTCACAATGTGAAGATCTGGAGGAAGATCTATAAAATCTGACTAATGAGACCCTGCTAAAAGTGAAGAGAACCTGTGATGTCCCCCCCAGAGGGAAGTTCCTTCTCCGGCCTCCCATTGTTAGGAATAATAGGAAATAATCCAGGTTTAGGGTGGAGTAAGTGAACAATGAACAATGTTTTCAGGAAAACTTTATTTGCCACAAAATATCAATGTTAGCCTTTTATGATTTGACCCCCCTACTCCATATACAGTAACCATAATAGGTGAGATGTTCCCAGCCATGGAGATTCATCTTCTCTATTATTTGTGTGATATTTCAGTGAAGCTGATTGTAATAGAAGAGATTATTCAGTGGTGTCACTCCCATCTCTGAGTGTCCGCCCTCTGCTGGTCAGACTCTACTTAGACACGACCTTGCAGCAGCGGGCTGTTGTCCAGTCCATATTGGCGCAGCGACAGTGACAAGTGTTCTGAGACTGGATGTCATAAGAGCCACAGCCCATTCCACAGGCACACCCTGTGGTGGTGTAATCTGCATAAAATGAGAAAATACCTGATTATAACATTCTAGCAGTATACATACAGTAGGCCTATACACAGTAATATTCAGAAGTTTGGAGTCCCCGAGGTGTACCCCAAAATGACCTCATATAGCGGCTTGGGGTGAATGTCCAGCAATCCCATCATCTCAGATCTTCAGATCTCCAGGACCTCATAGGTGATCTGGACTGAAGAACACGTCTCTCTCACACGGCTACTGAGCTCCATCTGAGGTCTGTGGATCATTTACCTGAAGGACACGTAGCATATGCTCCTGCATGGTGAGCGTCAATGCAGGCAAGTTTACTGTTCGCCAGGACTTCAGAAGCTGGAAGAGAAGAAAGAGATATGAGGAACCTGCAAATGTAAATGGCTAGATATGGCTGCCCCCCAATACTAGAAAAACCATTTCCCATATTGACCATGCAACCAAAGATAACCCACCCTTATTCATGGTATCTATCAATACCGAGAAGGTATTTGATCATCTTGGCTGGAACTTTTGCATTTTGCCAACAGACTGAAATTCTACCTGCCTTCCTGAATAAAATCACATCTCTCTTGAGCTGCCAATGGCCACTCTGTGAGTATATGGCTTTTTTGGACCTCGCCCATACGAATAATGACTGCTCATCTTTGACCATTCAGCACCTGGCCAGCGCCCTCTGTCTTACCCCTTCTGCACAGGGACATAATCCTGTGGAATCGTTGTCACATACAGTTGTACAAACGATGATGACCTATTGATATACAGTTGTGTTGAAAATACTAGCAGTCAGACATCACTAACCGGATCAATCACTGTTTTTGGTGGAAATGATATTTCTACGCGGCAAATAATTTCCTAGCAGGTGTAGTAGAGTCATAGAAATCCAACAGACCCAACAGTCATGACATGCATGCTGCTGATTCTGTGTCATTGAATCACTCATTGAAAGGGGCGTGTTCAACAATAATAGCCGTGTGGAGTTCTATTAGTGAGGTCATTCATTCTTTGATAAAACAGGTGGCAATTATTTCCCTTATTTAAGGAAGGAAGGCAGCAAATGTTGGACATGCTGGTTTATAGTGCATTTCTCTCTGAAATTCTGAGGAAAATGGGTCGTTCCAGACATTGTTCAGAAGAACAGCGTACCTTGATTAAAAAGTTGATTGGAGGGGGAAAACATATAAAGAAGTGCAGAAAATGATCGGCTGCTCAGCTAAAATGATGGCAAATGCTTTATAATGGCAACCAAAACCTGAAAGACGCGGAAGAAAAACAAAAAAACTACCATTGGAATGGATAGAAGAATAGCCAAAATGGGGCGGACTCAGCCAACAATCAGCTCAGGAAGATGAAAGAAGGTGTGTGACGTTCCCTGTGAGGACTCAGCCAACAATCAGCTCCAGGAAGATGAAAGAAGGTGTGACGTTCCCTGTGAGGACTGTTACAATTAGAAGACGCCTATGTGAAGCCAAGCTATCTGCAAGAAGTCCCCGCAAAGTCCCACTGTTGGGAAAAAGACGTGTGCTGAAGAGGTTACAATCTGCCAAAGAGCACATTGACTGGCCTAAAGAGAAATGGCCCAACATTTTGTGGACTGATGAAGTAAGATTGCTCTTTTTGGGTCTAGTTGGGCGGAGACAGTTTGTCAGACGACCCCCAAACACTGAATTCAAGCCACAGTACACTGTGAAGACAGTGAAGCATGGTGGTGCAAGCATCATGATATGGGGATGTTTCTCATACTACGGTGTTGGGCCCATTTATTGCATACCAGGGATCATGGATCAGATTGAATCCATCAGAATACTTGAAGAGGTCATGTTGCCTTATGCTGAAGAGGAAATGCCCTTGAAATGGGTGTTCCAACAAGACAACGACCCCAAACACACCAGTAAACGTGCAACATCTTGGTTCCAGACCAACAAGATGGACGTTAGGGAGTGACCAGCCCAATCCCCGGATCTTAATCCAATAGAAAACTTGTGGGGTGACATCAAAAATGCCGTTTCTGAGGCAAAACCAAGAAATAGAGAAGAACTGTGGAATGTGGTCCAATCATCCTGGGCTGGAATACCTGATCACAGGGGCCAGAAGTTGGGTGACTCCATGCAACACAGATGTACAGCAGTTCTCAGAAACAGTGCGACTACAACCAAATATTCATGAAGTCATTCAAAGGAAAGCAAAATCTTCAAACATTTCTCAGTTTATATAGTTGAATGTTTGAGTTTGTAAAGAAGAATACAAACACGGCCATTTTTTGTCTAATATTCACTTTTCTTCCATTTGTTTAGAGGAACAACACAAATTTGATGTATTTTTTTCATCATGTTGTGATTTGGAATAGAATGTGTCGTGTTCCCAATGCATTTGTGTGGATGGAAATAAAAGGATTAGAAGGATTTGCAGCTTTATTCACTTTTTTCAACACACTGCTATTATTTTGAACAGTCATACCTCTAGGCACTCCATATTAGCATTTCCTTTTTTGCTGAAGGATTTCTAAATCATTGGGTTGTTTCAGCAATTTTTATGTAAATTTTATTAAGCCTATTGCACTTGACATCTCCCTTCCTCAGAACACCAATATCTTCAAACTATAACAACTACTTTTCCGTTTCTGGGGCTCTTTACCATTAGGTATCTTGGGGTTCAGATTCCCACTAATCTTCTTCTGGTTCAGCCACATGGACTTTTCAAGATGGACATTGTCCTTTGTATACTCTACATCTTTCATGCATTACCATTTCTGCTCCCAAAATGTTTCTTCCTATTTTGTAAAACCACAATACTGGAAATACTGTAGATCTGACCTTACTTACAAACCTCCACTTCCAGTTGCAATACAGTATCTTTGTACCACCTTCTGGTGGTGTATGGACTTCCTCACCTGATATTATATTACAATGTGGCTCTCCTAACACCAGGGGTGGACTGACCATTCGAGCACTCGTGCACTGCCCAAGGGCCCGGGTCAGTAGGGGCCCCATGGGATGCCCCCTGGTACCTTTCATTGGCTTTTTCATAGGCTTTTTTTGGGTGTGGGCGAGGACACAGGGGAGCCATGATCCCCTATTGCCCGAGGACCCATGAGTTGTCAGTCCCGCCCCTGCCTAACACATATCTTTGAATGGATACATCATTGGAAGGAAAAGTTATGGATCACAAATTATAACCATTTATCACCAATTTTAATGACTTCTCTTCCTTGGATATGACCCCAAGAGCTCCTCCAGTTCTTTGTCTTTCCCATTCAGATTCCACAATTCTGAAAGGCCTAGGAATCCATTTGTAAACATGATATTTGCCCCCATATGTTGGACCATTCATTCCTACCCTGAGCAATCCAGATTTCCCACCAGGACTCTCTCAATCTTGCTTTCCTAAATGGACAGATCTTTCCCCAATCTCTATAGCCCCTCCTGACCACACTATATGTCCACCTTTTCCACTATCACACTGTCAAGGTCCTACCTTTCCTCAGAGCTTGTGTTGCTCCATGTGCTGGCATCCATCTTAGGTTTCTGCAAAGCATGGTGGGAGCCTTTATGCTTTCAGGCCTCTGCGGCTCCTCCTCCAGAAGGGTGTGGCTGATCACATTTAAGCCTGCTGTCTGCAGTTGCTCTTTGCATTCGTGTCCTGTATGTTACATTGCAGCAAGCTCTCGCTCGGCTCTCGTGACTTTCCTGGAAACCGACTCGGCTTTGACAAGACTATTCTTTGCGTTATCCCATTACCTGACCTCCCCGTTGCTGAACCCGGCCCGTGACCTGAGAATTCTTGTCTACCGTCTTGTACTGTCTGTTCCACTGTTATCGACCCGGCCTGTCCGACCACACTATACGTCTTCCCATCTGGCCCCACCAGCTATACGCCATTGGTGGCAGCTGTTACCGCAGCTGGGGTTACTCGGGGGCCGCGAACTGGTCTCAGGCTGCGTCAAGTCCATCCTCACCATCAGGGGCCCTGGTGAAAGGCAGCCTGGGGCTTAGACTCCGCGCCCTGAGGGACTCCGGTCTGTGGGTGGTTGCTGTCATCAGTCGGTGCATGACCTTACCATAAGGCCTGCCTGTCCATTCCACCGCTCCTGCCCTGACATTACACGAATGCCACGAATCCTGACGGTGCAGGTACGCCTTCGATCCCTATGTTACTCGCCAGACTTGATCAACAGGATCGCTTGTTGGATCAGTTTGCTCAGGCGTTGCAGACTCTGCTTGCACGCACTGCGCACCTTACCCCTGGGGTTATTAGGTCGGTGGTCACTCCGGTGGTCGCTCCCACTGTTGCTCCGGTGGTTGCGCCTACTTCCACATCTGTTGCTGCACCCGCGGTGCCCAGAGGTATGACTGGTTCTGCCCCTCTTCCACAGCGCTTTGGGGGTGAGCCGAGTCAGTGTCGTGGGTTCCTCAACCAGGTGGGCATTTACTTTGAGTTAATACCCCATGCTTTTCCTATTGAGAGGTCAAAGGTGGGCTTCCTAATCTCGCTGCTCTCAGACAAGGCCTTTGGCCTGGGCAAATCCCTTATGGGGAGGAATGACCCGGTGATTCACGAGTTTACCGGTTTCGTTGCCTCCTTCCGTACGGTATTCAATGTGCCTGCCTGCTCCACCTCCGCTGCCAAGCTGCTCATGTCCATGCATCAAGGTTCATGAACCGTGGCCGAGTACGCCATAGAATTTCGTACCCTGGTGGCAGAGGTGGGTTGGAACAATGAGGCTCTGGTGGCTGCTTTCTCTCATGGTCTCTCAGATGCATTGAAGGACGAGATTGCAGCCAAAGAACTGCCTGTGGAGCTAGAGGCACTCATTTCCTTCCTAATCCTGATTGACACCAGGCTCAGAGAGAGGCCTTCATTTAAGGAGCATCTGCGGAGGCCTCTCAACCGATTGGCGCCTACATTTTCTGTCCCACCCATTCCTCCCTCTCCTCCCACGCCTCCTGGGGATGGATTGTCAGGTAGTGAGCCCATGCAGCTGGGATTTGCTCACCTTTCTGAGGGGGAGCGGGCCTCTCGGCATCGGGAGGGTCACTGCCTGTACTGTGGTCTCGGTGGGTATTTTCGGTAGTCCTCTCCGGTCCGTCCGGGAAAACGCTTGCACCTGAGATACTGTCAGGGACAGATCTTGGGTGGAGTTTCCTCGTCCCCGGTTTCCCATAAGGATAAACCGCTAATCACCGTTGCCCTCTATTGGGCGGGAGGCTCGGTGACGGCCCAGGCGTTGGTAGACTCTGGTGCTGGCGGGTTGTTTATGGACAGTTTGTTTGCTGCCCAGTACTTGGACAACA